TATATATATATATATATATATATATATATATATATATATATATATATATATATAAAGCTATGTATATTTACAGATATATTTTATTTGATTGTGACTAACAGTCAAAGTTAAAAAAAATGGAAAATAAAAATTATTCGGTTTTACCGAACATTAATTTTGATCATAAGTAAATAAATTCGATCTAATTGACAGCGTGAAAACTAGCATCCATGCCACTACGATTCGCAATTTGAATAACATTGCTATTTTTGAGGCAGGGTATATTTTTTTATAATTGTAAGTTCTTTGATCATTCAATTACTAACGTTTTTTCACTATTGTTTTTTTTTTCATTTATTATTTTTGTTCGATCAGAACAATACACTTGTGTGACTTTAATATAATACAATTTATTAGTTTTACTAAATACTTTGATAAACAAATTATTTATCATCATATCGATGATTGAAATAGTTTATTTTTATTCATAAGGAAAATTCCAGTGATTAATTTTAGCTTTGAAAAATAATCAATAAGCATTGTTTTTCTTTATATAATTTTTGATGACGATATTTATACTTTTCATTGCTTTTAAGGTATAATTTTTGTATTTAAACAAAACTATGTCTATATATGTAAAATATTAAAAATGTTATTGATAACATTTGAAAAATTCATCAATATCACAAATTATTTCTATAACGTATATTTTATTTATTTATACGTTAAGAGTTAAATTTATTTTCGTTTTTTTTTTGTTTTACTTTTTTTGTATCTTAATTAAGTAAAGTCAAAATATGTTATTTTATATTTTTATTTTGTTTCAATATATGTAAAATATGAAAAATTTGTTCCATTTAAAGCATAATAAAAAAAAATATATTTTTCAAACAAAACAAATTTATCAAAGAGTCGAGGTTATTTAAATTTCTATTTTGGTCAAATTAATAATTGTTAAAATTAAATTAGTTGAAAAATTTGTTTATAAACTAATAAATTAAACTGTGTGACGCTCTGAACCTACTGCCATAAATTTCAATAAAATTTTCAGAACTTCATAAGAATTAATAATTAATATTGATATTTAAAGTTATAATTTTTCTCCGTTATGCAAATATAAATATATTTGCATATTATATATAATTGTAATGATTAATTGAAATAACAAGCTTTTAATTCTTTTTCTTTTTTTTTTTTTTTGCATTAAATAAGGAATCGATTAAGGCTCCAGGCTATTACAGTCAGACAGATCATCCACTCATAAAACAAAACATATTTGTTTCATTTATTAAAACTTAATAAATTTGATCTAACAGATAGAAAAAGAAAGAATTTCTACAAATAAACTACAAAAAATATTTTTTTAAGACTATTATAATAACATCTAATTTTACAATATCACGGCCATTCATAGACAATAAGTATAATAGTCATAAGTATAACAAGACCTAGAAAAAAAACTTGAAATATGTAGTAATTTGCAATCATAGAAGAGGTAATTATTCATTATAATTACAAACGAGCGGAGGATTTATCTGACATGAGAAATTAATGTCAACAATGTTCTACATTATTAGAATATGATACTAAATATGTATATTGATTCAGTGTTCGTCCACGTCATTGACGCGCTGTCGTTTCTGTTGTTGATGATCTGAAGGCTCAGGACTTTCAACAATCGAAAGTGGAGCAGGAGATCCAGGCGAACTGTCTGGTTCTTCATGAGTCCGTTTACTCATTCCAACGTTTGTGTCAGGACCAACAAATGTACCACTTTAAAATATAGCTCAATATTAATACAAATAATTTAATAATAAAAAAAAAAAAAATCATATCAAAAAAAAAAATAATAATAATATTAATAAATTAAAAATAATAATTTGATTTTAAATACAGTAAAAATTAATCAATTCACCTGTAATTATAAGTTTGAACAATAACAGGAGCTGGACTATATTGACCAACAGGTGATAACATTTGTTCTTCCATTAGATTACCAGACATCACGTATTTATCTATAAATGTAATATAAAATACGTTTATTTTATTTATTATCAATTATCAATCTAAAAAATAATTATTGTAAAAATCAATACTACCTTCTCTAGAAGCATCACCATTAGTAACAACTGTAATTTGTTGCACGAGACGATTTTTATTAGAAGTCGCTGGCGGTGGAACATACGGATGTCCAGGTGAGCCAGGAGCCGATTGACTTGACAATTGACCAGCTGGTGACGAAACTGAGCTATCAGGATAAGACTCTGGTCCTGGTGAACCTTCCCTACTTAAGCACTCCGGTGTCATTATACCACAAAGTCCCACATGAGATGGTGAAGCTGGTGCACTTCTATTAATGAATAATAAAAATAACAATAATAATAATAATAATAATAATAATAATAATAACAGCAATGAAAATAAAATTAATGCTACAGTTTACTAAACAAACCTCGAAGATAATCCAAAAGGTGCACGGAAACATGGAACACCACGTTGTCTTCGTTTTCTAAAAGCTTGTTCAATAAGCTTAGCCTCTGATTGAGGATCTATCCTCCAAAAGGATCCTTTTCCAGGTTCTTCTTGGCTTCTAGGTACTTTGATAAAATACCGATTTAGTGATAAATTATGTCTAATTGAATTTTGCCAACCTTTATCAGCAGTTCTATAATACGGATAATGTTTGGTAATATAAGAATAAATGCCAGAAAGTGTAAGCTGTTTGTCTTGAGCTGATGCAATTGCTTGAACTATCAATTGAGCATATGAATATGGTGGTTTAGATTCATCTTTAGAAGAACTGTAATGTCCCGAAGTACCATTAGAAGCAGATGCATTACTATTTCGATATCGTGAATCACTTCCAGATTCAGGACTCATTTGTCTACTCGAACTTTGACCAGAATCTTGACGATCATTGTTTGAATTTTGAGGATCACCGGCTACTGCCGCAGCATAAGCAGCAACCATTTGCAAATCTGCTGAAATATTTCGTCGACTCTGACCAGCTCGTGGACTTGCTGGGCACGAATTTGCTGCACTAATAGTACCTGTTGGAGATGGAAAAGGACTGCTGTATCCTGTATCGGGAATATTAATCCGCAATGGCGGTAATAGTGCTCTTTGTTTTGGCGGTGATTCATCACGAACATTTCCTTGATCTTGATCATCCACTAAAGATTGGAATACAAGTCTTATGTTTGTACTGGGAAATCTAAATATACATCTGTAAATAAATAAGTTAAATTATTAGTACAAATACACATCAATCAGAAATTTATACATTAACAAAAATAATAATAATATTATTATTATTATTATTATTATTATTATTATTGTATATTTATTTGAAAATAATATATAAATATAAAAATGGTTGTATGTTTAAAGCATTGTAAATTAAAGTCAAGGTCTCAACTCATTAAGTATTTATCATGATGATGATGATGATGATGATGATGAGACCATCAGTATTTTGCCATATAATTTCAAAATCATCGATTGTTTACAATATTCAAATGTAAAATAATAAAACTAATTGATAACTCTTATGATGATTTTGAAAAATACATTATTGATGATTTTTATTATTATTATCGTATACACATAGATATAAATAAATTGATATAATACATTGAACTTGAAGGTTACGAAATATGATCTAGTTATTTGTAAAACCTGTTCAATTATCAACAAATCACGTGATTAAAAGTTGGATAGCTAAATACTACCGAGTATCTAAAAATTATTAATCATAAGAATTATTTGTTTACTAGCGTAACAATAATAATAGAATGTAAAAGTAAAATAATAAAATATAGATGGAGCAATAAACGTATACACACAGTAACGTCATTAGTATAGTTAATTTATAGAATGTTTACTTACGTTTTGGGTAATTGAAAAGCAGGCGCTCCTTTACGTTGAAAAACACCGTCAACAAAAACTCCATTCTTACCATTGCAGGTCATGAAAAAGTATGGATGATCATAAAATATTTCCAAATGCCGACGTGAAATAAAACTTGAATGGCCCATATTAACATCAACCTCACCACGACTGCTATTCCGCCCTATAATAATTCTTCTCTGTCGAACCATATACTCAAATTCACGACCCTCTAATCTTGCAATTGGTGCACTTTTTGTTTCTGGATTCCATTGCATCCTCGTTGGACTAGCCGGTGCTGATTTGAGAGCAAGAAGCGCCCATGCGTCACTCTCCTGAGTACGTGAATACGTTGACGACATCGTGGCAAAGCCACTAAAAACTATCAGTACACCCTAGTGTACTTAATTTAACTTATTTAATACCTTTTATTTTATTTAATATTCTCAACGTGTTTTTTAATAAATATACACCACGCACGCACGTACTACTCGTGTGTCTATTTCTTCGTAATATGGCCGGCCCACCCTGTCCCCGTCGTCTCCTCTATACACTACTGGTATGGTACTCTCTCTCAATACACAATACAATAGCGGATGTTAACCCACAAAACAGACACACAAGTTTCTTGTTTCTGTTTCTGTTCCTGTACACTGCTTCTCTCTTACCTCACAACCCGTACTCGTACTGATTATTTCTATTCTCTATATATGTGTACATCCCGCGTGCTTCTCATCTCTTTCTCTTTCCTTCTCTCTTCTAATTCGCCTTCTCTCTTTTTCGTTATTTTTGCTGATGTACTCTCTTGTCTGTAAACTGGATGAACACACGCACTATTATTTTCTCTCCTCCTTGTTTATCCACAATACGAAACGTGGGTGGTCACCACGTGACACTAATTTTCAATACCGCGATCTACAAAATCTGAAAAATTTTATTCAATTATTATTTATCCAACACACCATATTTATTGTTTATTATTATTATTATTATTATTACCATACCAACTAATTTTTTATATTTTGATTTTATGTAAACACCTATATATATTATATATTTTAATCTTACTGTTTGATTGTGTATTTATTTTTATACCTTGTGTCGTGTGTACCAGAGGAGACGTAATATCTTGTAGTTTATTATAAAATAAAACCGGATACCGGAGAGACGCCACATTCACCGGCCGACCTCTCAATATGTCGTAGCGCGATATTTGAATTTTATTTTTACTATCTCCAAAATTTTTATTTTTTTATTTCAAAGTTTTAAAATTGAATTATTTTTTCACTTTATTTTTAATTGATTTCATCATTAATTTAAACTTACATTATAATTCGTTTAATTTTGCTACACTTTCTTGCATCGTTTAGTTGACTGTTTGTAAGATGTTTTCAATATTTATGTACGCGTTTGTGTATAAACAGTAGAGGTTACGTAACACAACGCAAAACAAATGAAACTCTCGGTACATTAACGAGTAAACAACAAAAAATAATTATATAAAAAATTTTGTTTCTAATAATATGAATAATTACACCTTAAAATTGAATGTAGTAAATAAATAAGGATTTAATTTAGTATGTGTTTTATAAATAACTATGAAAAACTTCCGTTTATGTACTTGATTTAAAAAAATTTATATTTTGTTAATAGTAAACAAAGCTTTATATATTTATTTCAAAATGTGATTCGCCAAGTATAAAAAATAATTAAAAATTAAAAGTTTATGTAACCTACAATCTTCATTCACATCTTTTCGTATAAAGTTCAATTATATAATTTATAAGTCTTTTATACTATGTATAAATTTGTTTTAATTTATTACATAATACAAATTAATTTTTTTTTTTTTTATTTAAAAATTGGTAGAGTAATTTTCAACAGTTATATATTAAAAAATTTTTACAGGTGTTAAACGTTACCCTTACAAATAATAAGAATTATTGCTATCGTTTTAGATCTTTTTAAGAGTGGGTAGTAGTTAATGTATTTTCAGAAATTTTATTTTTATAATTATAATTTAAATAAATTTAAAAATCAGGTAAAATAAATGTTTCGTGAGTGTTAGTCGGATGCTCTTTTCTGGAAACTTAAGTTTATTTTCAAATTTATTTTAGAGATATTGCGAAATGCAAGTTTCTGAAAATACATTGAATATATACTGCCCAACCTTTATGATAAAAAATATTATTTATAAATAAATATGAATATAATAGGTAGTTTGTTAATGTTCATATTCATTAAATATTTTTTCAAAAGTACTGTCAACATAAATCTGCCTTTTTAATTTTTTTTTTAAATTGAGATGAGTACTGATGATAAATTTAGTTAAAATATTAGATCTAAAATTTTTTGCTTCAATGCAATATTCATACTATTTTTATAATCTACTAGATAAATTTCAGACATTCGTTCAACATTAAACTGTGCTCATATCATTGAAGGTTTTCAGTCATAAGATTTGCATCAATATTGTCTTCATTTGTTTTTGTGATTATCCATGTCTAAATTAACAATACTCCAAATAACAATTGCATTGATTCATTGTTGTCTTTCAATAACATCAGCATTGTCTCATTAACTATACAGTTCAGGTTTTCGGTTCAATGATATATTATTGATGTATAATATTAACGGTCTTGAATTGTTTCGTTTTGATTGTCTCTAATTATCAAAACCTCGAATTTTAATCAAATTGTTCGGAAAAATTAGAGTGATAAGAGATGAAATGCGCAAATAATACCAACTCTCGTTTCACTCAAGCAGTGAATTGATGTTTTCAAATCTCAGCATAAATATTTCTCGCGCTGAGAAAAAGTTCTGCAATGCATTACTTCGACAATCCTTAGAATAACTACATTAGTTTTATTAGATCGTAGCTTTTATTATCCATATCACAAGTGTTGACGGTATGAATATGTTTCAATTTTTTTTTAACTAATAAGTAAAGTAAGATAGCAAAAGTTTTTTTCTCTTTTATTTTATTTTTTGGTCCTAGTGGATTTGAACTTAGTGATGTTTCTGTTTGAAACTGCTTTTATGATGACTGGGTTTGCACTAGAAAGCTCCCAGATTTACGTAGTAAGAATTTACTGTATGATCAAGCTGTGATTGAAATTTGACAATGATGATACTGCAATGGAAGAGATGATTATTAGCCATTATTATTATTGTAACTATTATTTCCAAAGACTTTGTTTGAAGATTACAGTAAGTTGAGCATTATCACAGCAGAGCGTTGAAAACAAAGTCATTTGGAGTATCTTAATTAAAAATATAATTTTATCTACTTTTTTTTATTTTTTTTTTATACGACACTTATTTTTTATTATTAATATTAATGTAATATAATTATTTAATAATTAAGACATTATAAAATACAACATTGGTTGTAATGATAAATGGTAAAAATAGTTGATATTTAAAAAAAATTAAATGGTAAGTCTTTTTATAGTTTTCAAGTGATAATTCCCCTTAATGTTATCTTTGATAAAACTAGAATTATTCAAATTTTCTTTAAACATTTCGTTAACTTTTATTTGCTTAATATCGTCAAAAAGAATCGACATTTCGATGAGTTGGCGAGCAATCTCTAAGAGACTTACTGATTTTTTATCAAGATTTTTCTTTTAAAATAATAAGCACAAAGTCAAAAAATGGTCCTCTATCCCTCGAATTAAGTATACGGTATTCTATTTTTTTAGTGTCTAAAAATATATTATTTTTAATCAAATAATAATTAACTTAAAAAAAAATTTTTGGAGTTTACTCCTTAAGAATCGATTTTCATATATAAGGCGCCCGGTATGAGAAAAATATGAGGGGTTAAAATCTACTGATGAATGACCTCGTTACGTTTTTGGTGCGCAACCTCTATTCTGCGCAAACTTTCTCTTTTTAGGCGCGAGCATTCAAACGTTCACGGGGTATGTTGCGGGTCAGCTTACGCATTAAGTATACCTATATATGTTATTAGTTATTTTATTATTAATAACTTATTACTATATAAAATATATAGGTATGTAATATATACAGCCGCGCGCATTAATTCAAATAGGTATTCCAGTTTGTAGTTGAATTGAAAATTGTAAATTCGGCCGTTTCTAAAGTCTCAATGTTGAAAATCTAAAATTATGCCCTTTGTCAAATTTACTAAACCTAAAAAAAAGACTGCTAATGTGGGCAAAAAGAATATAATGCCAAGTGTAAATTGAGCGTAAAGTAGAAAATGACAAAGAAAAAATCCGCGAATTTTCGAAAAAGAACATCTAAAAAGGCAGTCACTTAAAAATAAACAATTCAAATAAAATACTGCATTAATAAAATAATGCCAATCTGACATAAGCTAATTTATGAAAATGATTCTAAAGAAGAATTCAAAGTAACAAATAAACGAAAAAAAATATTGAAATTTGAAAAGATTGTCATTTTTCAAACAATATTATTTTAAATATTGAATTTCCGTAAAATTGAAAATCGTAAATGTTGCCGTTTTAGAATCTAGAAAAGCAATTTTAGCTGATACTTAGCCTAGCATTACGTAAAATTAGCCGATTCAAAATTTTCAAATAATTAAAAATTCCGATTCAAATAATCATTTGTCGTGTTCGGCTTACAAAACCTACCCCGGGGCAGTGAATACAAAAGCATTTGATTGGACCTCAAATTAAATTTTTAAATCTTGAAAACTTCAGATCCAGTCATCAGCTGCTATTCGTTTGTTTTACCCCGGGGTAGGTTTAATAAGCCGAATACGATAATTAATATATTTACTTTCAATTGCATATTGTATTAACCTGATATTAACCTACAACAACTGTCAACTTGCGGAGGTTTTATCGTAAATTTTATATTTTATTTATAATTGATATAAATATAAATTTATATCAATTGATATTTATTTCAAAATTGAGAAAATTACTCAATGAATAAAAATTAATCTATAGATGTGTCATGCATACTCTAAGTAATATAAGAAATACATTCATTTACCCTTATTAACTAATATATTTATTTTATAATCGTTCGTAAGGAGTAAACTCCAGTCGTGCGTCGGAGCTGACACACACTTTTTTTTAAGAACAATCACGTGTATATTATACACTCGCTTTTAATTTAAGTCTTCCAGATTCTAAATTCAAGTTAATCATCAAGTTGAGTTACACTGGCGACACCTCGTATAATCCAGTGTGATTCATCGATATCTGATGGTATTGTTATGAACATAACAAAATTCGACGAGTGTCCTGTTGTAGTTAATTCACCACGCCTGGCGCTTGTTTTATAAACAGGACAAAGGTATGATAGTGAAGATTTGAAATTAGCTTTTATCCCTGGTTTTATCAATATTATAGGTAGTACATCAAACATTAATTTAAGTTTTGATTCGTCTAATTTTCGCATTTCTTCATTCCATCGTGCACCTTCTAAAAAAAGTCCCTAAAATAATAAGAATAAAATTTTTATTTTCTATTATATAAATTTAAATTTTCATTTTGTTTATTAAATATAATAATTACTCGAATAAAAACACTTAAATGTGGTGGTTTGATAGTAGTTTCAAAAAAATCAGAAACTTCAAATTCAAAACCTACTAAATCAATGGGTATTTCATGATGACGTGCATAGTTTTGTAAAATTCCAGTTAAAAACGACTGTGTAAAAAAGAAACCTGATATCCAATAAACATTAGGTACATTTTTATCTATCCAGTCTTGGAAGAAATTAATTCTATTCAATAAATCATTAATATAGCTTCCAAGTGGTTTGAGCGAAGGGTAAGACTGAGTACTCCAAATAATAGGTACTTTACCAATACTTATACTAGTGAATATCTGTTCAAGCACTGTTGATATGACAATTTGCCCTTTAATTGCTTTTTGTAAGGTAGTTAAACTATCTTTAATAAGTTTAGTTAAATTATTAAATCTTATAAGTTCTTGCTTCAATACAGTATTCATACTATTTTTATAATCAACGGGATAAATTTCAGATACGGCTTCAATATTAAACTGTACTGGTATTTTCAAAAGTATTTCAGTAGTAAGATTTGTTACTATAGTTTCAATGTTATCTTCATTTCCACTAGTAATTATTTGCGTCTGAGTTAACAATACTCCAGCCAACAATTGCATTGATTCATTGTTGTCTTTCGTAATGTCAGCATTGTCATGCAAGCCATACACTTCAGGTTTTTGATTTGATGGTAAATTATTTATATATCTCAAAATACCTTCGTAATCGGCGTTTTGAGGTATAAAGTAGTCTTCACTTGACGAAAAATGAAATCTGAAGTAATAAAAATTTTTTTATAGATTTATTAATTAAAACACAAAATTAATTTAATTAATAAATATTTATCAAGATTAATCACTTACGTAGGATCTTTAATGTTTTCCATATTATAAAATTTTTTTAACAGAGCATTCAGCAAACGTCGATCTTTATCATCAGTGATTCGGCCACCATAATTACATTCACCGGTTAAATATAATAAAGCATCAAGAGGCACTTGTTCATATTCATTAAGGAACATCTATAGAAAAAAAAAAAAAAATAAAAAAATATCTTTAATTAAAAATGACCTATTTAATAAATAAATATAATAGTAGTATCATGAGTTTCTAGTGTTTAGGTGATTCAAGCCCTTTTACACCCTAAGCCTCCTTATTTTTGCTTAGTTACTTGATGATTAACTATACCAGTACAGTCGGAGCAAGGCTAAGCTCACGGTAACTAATAAGCAACTCTTTTATATCGAGATTATCGGAACATTAGTTTCCTCTCCTAGCACACAGAGATCTACACGCTAGCCAGCGCTGACTAGGTGATCACCACAGTCAGACGCGTGCCACGTGACTATCTCTGCTGTAATTAATAAATAAATATATTTAGATGAATTTATTTACCTGCAATTGTAAAACGCTTATTCGCAAATCAGATTCATTGAATTCATAAGGAATATTCCATCCAAGAGGTCCAAATTTCCGCCTCTCTTGTGCCACTGCATGAAAAAAGCATAATGAAAATAATAACGATCGCCATTCAAATACTTTTTTACATCCGTGAAAAAATTCTACATCAGACAATGGATCACTTGAATAACTATGTAATAAATTTTGTTTTAATCCCTTAGGCGGTTCATTGATCATTTTGATTCCATTCTGTAAAATAGACACTGGAAAAACATTTGATGGATAACTTGTAAGCCACATACGGAATTTATCATGTATAGTTTCATGAATTATTATTTCATCACAGATACTGTCAAGTTGTTTCATCCAAGACTCTGCTAAATGACAGTTTTGAAGAACAACCCATTCACCATTTTTAATAGCTTTATTTATCAAATCAGCAGCTAATGGCCCTTGACCCTGTCCCAAAGATATTGTTAAAAGATTTTCCCGTGAAATTCCTTTTGTTTCAGCAAATTTAACAAGCCTTGCCATTGGATCTGACCCAGGTGACAGTATGAATAATAATGGTGTTTTATTATTAGAATCATCAAATGATGATTGAAGATCGAATGGTGGAGGTTCAATAAAAAATTGTCCCATGTTTTCATTAATAAATATTTCAACAGCTGAAACAAGTTTATCTGGTCTTATACAGCGAAGTACAATAAGCTTCAACAAATCATTATTTAATATTTTGTCGAACGGTGGTGGAAAATTATGATACTCTGGATCTGATAAATCATAATACGCTTTCCATTTCAGTATATCTGATTCAAATGATTTTTTAAGCTCTTCAAGACCAATTAATTGAGTAGCTCGGTTAATTTCGGACCATGATTTATTACTTAGCCATGATGGATCAGGATTTTTGTATGGATTTTCAAGAGCAACACCACCAGTCAGAAAAAAATACCACAAATCTTGCTTTATTTTATCGTTCGCTCGCATTATTCCAATAGTTAATACAAGTGAAAATATTAATTTATCTTTATCAAATAATGAACGACAAATATTTTTATAAATATTTCGTGTGAATATTGAATTTAAATTTTTCATTCGTATATTTAAATCACCTGATTTTTCATTGTTACCGATTGCCATAATATACAAATTAATAAACCAAGGTAAAGAATATTGATACATTGGATCAATATTCGCTAAATCAGCAATGCAAAAAAATAATACCGCACTATGACGTGATACTGGTTTGTAAGCATCACGCGCTTGATCTATTTCAATAGTTGTTTTGGCAGCTATTTTTTGTTTTGATTGAATATCTTCTGATAAAAGTTTTGATGATGACAAAATTTTAATAGCTGTCTCATCTTCAAGAATATTCCCTTCTGACGATGACAAAACTTGCAATATTTTATCTTCTATTTCTTTGAGAATACGTTTATTATTTGCACCCTCAATTATTAATTGATTCTTCTTATCTTCAAGTGCTGGTAAATCTTTTGCGACGACAATACCTAAAAGTTGATCTTGTAATCCTTGTTGAGTAATCATGAAATTTATAATATTAACTTTGATAGCTATTTCTGGTAAATAATGTGGATTACGGAGCCTAGTTGTTATATAGAATTTGAAATTATCGTTGTATTCTAAAACAGTTTCATTGAATTTCAGATAAAAAACACCCGATTGTTTATAAACATTCTTTAACAATACCGGTTCAAGAGTAGGATCCAGATCCTCAAGAATATTTTCTACTAAAACTGGTGTACCGAGTTCAATAGCTCGTTCCATTCTTTTAACATAATTAGAATCAGTAAGTTTAATGACAGTTAACTTATTTAATTTCTCCATATTTTTAATCCACTTATTGGCTTGTCCTTGTGGATCAATCATAAGCGGCCAACGGTTAGCGCATTTAACAATAATACCGTTTTCAATAGAATAATTATCTGCTGGTAAACCCTGAATCATCCAATTTCTGATTTCTACCGGGTCACCAATAATATCAACAAGTTTAAATTCATCATTGCATGGGATAGACATTGATTTACATGAATTATGCCATTCATAAATTAATTCGTTGCGATAATCAACCGTGAATGCACCGAGATATGCAAGAATTCCAGAAGCTAACAATACATCGCCAATAATGTTATTTAAACTAGAACCTAAATTAGCAGCAGTACTACTCCATCGGGTTTTTTCACCACCAAGACCACCAAGTAATTTTTCAGCTCGATCCAATTTTTGCATACAATGATCAATTTGATCCTCTAACTTTTTCTTTTCCCGCATACATTCGGCAAATTCATCATTTAATGTTTGCAACTTATCAGTGACTTCTTGTAGCAAGGTTCTTTTGGCATTTAAAGTTTCCATCTGAGCGGCAAGTTTTGCTTCAGCTTCTGCGAGCATTGCTTTCTTTGGTGCGACAACTTTTATAACTCGGTCATAAACTTCCATAGCTCGTATCCATTTGCACAATCCTTCACAAGCTGTCGATACTTTTTTAATAACTTCTGGCTGAAAACTTCTATCATTCATGAACTTTTCTCTTATCTTTTTAATATTAGCCGATGGGATATTATCTTTATCAAAAGTTTTTAGACTTTCTAAAAATTTAATATCACCGAGTAATTTTATTGATGCTGGCCAATAATCATCAACCATTAAACCCGAGGGATCTTGAACACGTTCTGGTTTAACTCCTTTTAATACACACACCGCCTCCATTACTAATCTAACACCAGCTGGCGGACTCTTCATTGATTTAACTATTGTAATATCTGCGGGCTTGAGTGTATTCAGAGCAGCCAATGCCGCTTCCAATGCTGGAGTAGCTTCAGCTAAATCACTTTCACAATCATCTTTTATTGCTTGAGCAGCAGCTGCAGCTTCATTTGCCAAAGCTTCATCAGCAGCAACTATTTCTTTTTTAGCTTCAACATTAACTGTGTCTTGTTCAATTTTAATCATCAATTTATCACTTAACTGTGATTGTGAAACTAATTTTGGTTGCAATGCATGCAATTCTTCCTGCATAACAGAGACTTGACCAGCAGCAAAATCTAATTTTTCAAGTCCTACAATGTAACGATTTTGTTGTGATATTATTTGTTTAACTTTTTGATTATACAAATTAGTTAACGACTTGATCAACTGAAGAAAACTTGTTGGAGTTACATAATTTATTCTACCATTAATTTTTTCATATTTTTCACTGGCTATTCGTACACTTTCATGAAAATTTTTACAACTAATAACACATTTATTACGAATACCTGCATCAATATTTAATTCTTGCAATGATACATTGGCTACTTCTTCAAGTGCTTCTGCAGGCCAAGCTACATACCAATCAATTGTACAACAATTTATCAGAGATGGAAACATTCTAATACGATTTCTAAATGTGTTACCAATAGGTGACATTGTAATTATAATATGTAAATATTTTTTAACTCTTTCAATAAATAAATTATACAAAGCCATTGGCGTTGTTTCGATTTTTTTACTCGAATCTTGCTGTACAATATTTGATATTTTATCAAGAATTTCAGCTTTTTCTTCAGTATTATAAAGATTTGGTATATCACCAGTATTGAGTATTATATTTATATCTTCAATAAATGATTCATCTTTTATTTGATTATCAGAAAATAGAAAAACTGTGAATTTACTATCACAACCAGCTTTGTGTAATAGTAACTTTAAATCTTCTCGCCATTCATTCATACCATAGGCTTTTGTTACTTCAACCTGATGAATGTTATATTCACAAATACTTGCTGCTAATTTTGAACATGAACTTCTACCCGATCCACCAACACCAACTAATAATGCGTTACCTTTAGACTGCATTAAAATTCGTGATATTCGTGATACATGTTCAATAGCATAACGAAAAAGTACCAATGACATGGGGGTACTTGAAATTTTATTGTACTCAGCGAGATGATAGTTCATTTTTTCTTGTAAATCATTAAAATCAACTATTTCATCATAGATTTTTGGATCAGCATCTGGCTCCATGTACATTCCAAATAACAAATTAGAAATATGATTGCTTGTTATATTTTTTTCATTAGGCTTTAATAAATTTCCAAGCACTTTATTTAGAGGTTGACGTAACTGATCATAAACTGTTTGTTTAACCATTTCAAATAGTGTATCACGGTCATCATTATCTATCAAACGATCGTGAAAAACTCGATAGACTTCATGAATCCATAACTTTATTAATTTATCAAAATCACGCATTCTAGCAGCAGGCACTAAAACAATTCCATTGATCACTCGACTAAAATCTCTTAAATTAAAAGTGTAATGACTCTTAGCAGGAATCGGTAGGAAATTATCAATAGCTTTGTGAAAAATATCTATCGTAGCAGCCACGATCATTTTACTCGATTGAGAAATAATTGATTCGAAGCCTTTTGCAAAATGCCAGTCGAGAATCGATGTGAATATTTTAGTTATTGTGGTATCATCAAAAGTATCGATTCCAATTACATGCATGTGTCTTAAAAATCTTGATGTAATTGAATGTAATCCTCCGCCCGGTGATCCCATTGCTCCAATCATCAACATATCTACTAGATAAAGCAAAGATGTATCTTTTGGATCATACCAATGGCCGTGATCAATCCACTGGCGTAAAAGCTCAATAGGCGGTTGTGCACCATACTTTTCTTTTAACGGTCTGCTTAAATCGTCTACAAATAAAACACACTTTTTACCCATAGTGGGACCATAAACTCCTTTTCTGCGACGGTCTAATTTAGACATAACTATTTCTTGTGTTTGAGCGGCACTTGTGTGAGCACTAAAATTTATAACATTTTGAATAAACTTTTCTTTTGGAAGATTTACTAAATTATCTAAAACGATTGATGATTTTCCAGTTCCAGTTGGTCCGACAAACAATACTGGTATTGATCTGTCCAGTAATTTTGTCATAAAAAATTTTTGTATTGACACCTCATTTGTTGGTATTATTATATCATTCACATTAGTATCAGCAGATAAGGGTACCTAAAATAATTTCATGACTTAATAATATATTTAATTAAATACATTCATAGAATTAATTAATTAGAATTTATATTTCTTACAGCAGGATTTATATCCATCCAAGAGATCCAAGTTCCATTATTTCTTTTATCGTATATCCATTCATATATCGTTCCTCTATCAGGGAAAATTTGTTGTTTTGATAATTTAAACACTTTGGGCTTAGGATGTTCTTCGATGTTACCAAGTAATAAATTTCTAAAGTAAGTATCAAATAATTTTCTACTTTCACTGGTAAGAATTGAAGCGAATCCCCATACCATACTAAAAAGTAAAGTACATTGAAGCCAAATTGTACTAATTTGAGTTTCATCTTCTAACATAGTGTTGAATATTCTAGTAAATGCCTAGAAAAAAAAGTTACAATTAAATTAACCAAATCACCAAATATATCTTACAATTTTTTATTTTTAAGCAAATAAATTATTGTCAATAAAATATTTTTGAAAAATTGCATTTGCAGATTTTAAAAATTTTAACTTATATCATTAATAATAATAATTTATTTTTTTATACGAATTTATTTGTTGAAAACAATCCTAATAATTGTCAAATGCATCTGTACAATGTCTACTAATTTCAGTGTCCATGTTAATATCAATTATATTTTTCATAATTTTATTGGTAATTATTTAAAAAAAAAAATTCTTACCAAAAACTTGTAGATATCAGATGTATTAACAAATGTTTGACAGTTGTTATGAATAAATTGAAATATTGGGATGGTTAACCATTCAATAATTTCAACAGCTAATTGAAACTGTTCAACAAGAAATCTGTCTTTTAATGTTTTTTTAAAAGACTCAAAAATAGATTGGCAGCCCAATTGAGAAGGTTCCATATAAATCATTCCACACCTACTGACAGTTGCAGGTGAAGCTTGATCTAAATCAGCTGGTTCAAAAATCATATTCATTTTCTTGGACATGATAATTATTTCACCAGACATAAGACAAAGTTTCTTATTATCGTCCAACACTGTGTTCATATTTTCAATCCACACAGCATCAACCGGACCGTCAAAAATAATCCACTTGCGTTCCAAATTTAACGACTGCGCATACTCTCGAAATGTATTAGCAACAATCCCGTCATTCCATTCATGAGAAACAAGATCAAAACTTCCGTATAAAGAATCTATTGAAATAGCTTTTGGATTGATCACTCGATATACTGTTTTGAACTCTTTTATTTTAGAACGCTTTTTTGCAGACAAGTCACCAAGGGCATCAGCTAGTACTTGATAAGCTTGAGTTTTACCGCCAAGAGTTTCACCAACAATCATGAGTCCGTGTCTCACAAGTATCATTTCATAAATTTGAATTATTTTTTCTATATACCAATTTGTAGCCTGAAGATTTCGTTTTTCTAAATGAATTAATAACAGTTCAATTAATTCATCACGATCAGCTTTTGGTAATGTCACACCAGGAAATAAATCATTGTAAATTCCATTAAATAAAGGAATGTCATGTGCTAAAAATTTAGGTAAATTAACATCAATAATAGCGCGCAGAACTAAACTTGATTCATTTTCATCTGGATACTTTAATTTCAAATTTCCAGCAGCGTTGAGTACAGTTTTAACAGCTCGCATACCATAATCATAATGATTTTGTAAACTCAGTTGTTCTGAACAAAGTTTATAAGTAAAAACAATTTTATCCGCTAAATTTTTAGCATCTGTAAATCCATAAGAGTACAGCGTTATTTCACCAATCATACCATAGTCTGGTATCATCATAGCTACTGTACGGAAAAGAACTTTAAGATTGTCTGGTAATTCTTGCCGACCAGCATAACCGGGATTCATTGTGATAAAAATATTGCAAGTTGAATTTAACTTTATCTCTGTTCCTTCAAAAATAAATCTTTCTGATTTAATACTGATTGCCATTTGTATCGTTAATATTTGCTGTGCAATAACAGATAACACTTCTAGTTCGATTCTATTGAATTCATCAAAGCAGGACCATGCACCAGATTGTGCAAGACCTTTAAAAAATTTTCCCATTGCTTTATAATTTAAGCCTTCTGAACAATTAAACACAATACACTGCTTAGCCACAGCTTTAGCAAGATCTTTGGATGTTTCAGTTTTTCCCGTGCCAGCTGGTCCTTCCGGAGCTCCACCGAGATTCAATTTCATAGCACTCATCAGTGTTCGATAACATCTGTCGGTTAATGGAGTTATTACTAAACGTGAAGTATTTCCTAAATATTCGAATCCATAAACAACATCGGTTGTAACCATTGAGACAGTGATTCCACCTTCTAGCCAGTAATATCGTAGCTGAGCGATCCAATTAAAATCCATCGGATCATTGACTTCTTGTTCAACAAGTAATTTAACGATTTCTCTTGCATGGACATCTATTACTATTAATGCATTAAGAGTAATTCGTATTCCAGGATCTAATTTTCCTCTTATCAATGCTATTGCTTGATTAATTTGATGATTGCATTTATTTAAATAAGCTTTTGTTGAATTATCTTGAAAACTTTCGATAACTTCACTTGTCCAATGAATTTGACTACTGCAAAGTACTATCTGTCCTGGCCATGAGAGTATCCATTCATCTCTTGCAGCCGTGAAATACGCAATTATACTGTCTTGAGCAATATCACGCAAAGATGTAATCATCATTTCTTCAACTTGACAAAGCCACTTTTCAACCATGCCTTTGGCATCAGCTGGATAAATTTTTCCACTCATTGGTACGTATTCGTCTTCAGCAGACAACATGCCTATTATTTCTTCATTGTTAGTAAAACGTAATTTATTAATACCTTCAAAGCATTTCTTCAAATGTGGCTGTACACGCTGTGGATCTTTTGTTTCAGATAAAATTTCAAGCAATTCATCATTCGATAGGAAAAAAAACCGCGGAAAAAATAATCTCTTTTTTTCCAAATAATCATTCAAACCTTTTTGAATTTCATCAAGTAATGAATTGCACAATTTGAACTGTTTAAGCATGTTAGGGATAGATGTAGCGATAGTTACTTTTTTATTTTCACTAACAGATTTCATAAATGTACGCCAAATTTTATCAACACAACGGAAGTTTTTAGCCTCAACTGGCATTTGCCGCATAATATCTTCACTGCTAAATATTGGCTCTAAATACATCCAGGTGGCTTGACAAATTAGCCATTGATCAATAATATCTTGCATTGATATTAATTTTGTTTCCCAATTCTCCATTTCATGTTCAAATGCCTTGACAAATGGTGAACCGTGCATTGTTTGAGCTTTAAGAATATGATCATCAAGTAACATTTGTACATCATCAACTGCTGATAAAATTTTAACACCGGTATCACGATATGGAATTAAATCAAAATAAATATCTTCCCATTCAGCTTGCATTTTTTTTAAATTTGCTTCAAGTGAGTGTTCTTTAGTAGCTGCTGATGCTATCTCTTCCAGCTTATCAATATAAACAGATAAACCATACTCAATCATATCTGACAGACTACTTTTTTGATTGGGAACAATTGTTATATTAACAATTTTACTAATTGATTCCCAATGACGTGATTGCAGTCCTGGTGTGCATATTGTTTGTAAAACTGGTATGAATTGTTTAAATTTTTCAACTTTTCCACGTATCATTTCAGCAATTCGACGCGCACCAGGTGTATCTGATAATGCGCGCCCTAATTTATATAAAGTCTTCCATGCGTTGTCCGTTTCTTCACGTATTTGCTCAGCATTCAAACCGGCAAATGGACCATAATACCACCGTTCATAATTTTTATGAAAACTCAAAACTGTATGCCAAAGTTGGTCAAAAGTATCAACCGTTGATAACATATTAGGTAGCGCTAAGTAAGGACTTATTTCAATATCAAGAAGCCCTTCTTCATTGTTTATTTGTTCAGCTTCTTTTCTCATCTCTGCCATAGTTATTGACAATTGCTCTATTTCTTCGGTCGATTGTTCCATTTCTTCAACAGTTAGTACCGGTGGATCTTTTTTTTTAAATATATCAATAGCTTGTTGCATACGCTGGATTTTTTGTTCAAAATTATCTCTGCGTTTACGTAACACGCCTTCAACGAATTCTTTCCTCATATTTAGCCGTTTAGTGGCCAACCCCATTATTATTTCCATTTCTTTCGGCCACGTAAGAGTTCGTGCATTTAATTGTATATCTTCGTCACTAGGCGGTTGATAATCTAACAAAAAAATAATCAATTCACCACATCGTGTTAATTTGTTTCGTAAATTGAACATTGTGTTATCACGGCTATCACAAAGATAGTTGAATAAATCAACGACTTCTTGAGTTGTCTCGGGCATTCCAGCTATTTTTTCAGCTATTTCATCGAATATATGACATAGTTCATGGTTGTTCAATCGTAATTCATTCAAAAAAAAATTACATATTTTTGTACGAAGATCATTTAAAATAATTCGCATTGTGTCATTTACAATGGTACAGTCTATTTCAATCATATTTAATGGAATTTTGTTTCTAAATAAACATATTTCTTTACTGAGATTGTCGTAATCCTTGATTCTATTGCCAAATTGTTGTAACGATGGTATTGGCTGAGTTTTGAAATAATTATTCAAACTTTCATCCGCTTGACCATTCAAAATATATAACAGATTATTGTAGCGTTGTAAATATAATTCTGGGCCGATTTTGTTTGATAAAATTGATTCCAGCGCTTCATTAATAATTTTTGACACCTGAAAAAAAAAAATGATTGAATATTAAAAAATTGATAATATGTTTTTTTTGGAACACATTTTAACCGGACGATAAAATACCTACAATTTAAAAATTTTTGATCAAATTATTATATTATTTTACTAAAAATTATAGTAGTAAATAGTCATATAATTATAATAAAAATTGAAAAAGATGATACTAATTAAACGAGCGGAGAAAGCCTCCCCACATAAATGAATATTTTCGTTTTTGTGACACACTTTACAAAAAAAACTGTAAAATATCTTAACATTAACTTGAACACAATTATTTACATTCATATTTAGCTATTTTATCATATTAATTACTTCTTAGAAAAAAAAATTTTTTTTTGTACGAATAAAACAAAATAGGAAATTCTAATTTCAATGTATGTGTGTGTTATATTTTATAAATAAATATTTTTTGATACGTGAAATATGTTTTAATTTTATAACAAAACTTGGTGATAATAAAGACTATGTATAATAATCATACCGAAAATGACAATATTTGTGTTCAGTTTCGTGAGTGTTTTATTTTTAGCTCAATTATTATAAAGCTATTTCTTTTCATCACTTAATTTACCAAAGTTTCATTGCGTGATACAGATAATAGGTAAGCAGATCCTTGAAATTCAGGAAAAATAATTGTTTCTATTTTAGGCACTTCTGATCCAACTAATAATATTCTGTCAAAACATCTTGACATAGTATGATACATTTCCATTATATTTGGATCTAACCGTAGTTCTGTGCTTCCCAGTACAGGCTTAACTGTAATTCTTATAAATGGAGTTCTATAAAATAAAATAAATCAATAAATAAAATTATTAAATATTTTTATTTAGATACAAATATATTACCGAATGAACAATAAATCATAATATTCACTATCAAATTTATTCCCATCTTTGTACTGAATTAAAAAATTTTTTATTTCTCTTAGTGTCTCAATTACTATTATACGCAATTGTCGCGATAGTAAAATATTTGTACTGCGAAAGTACTTTTCAATAAGAGCTGTAGGAGTATTTAATTTTTTTTCCAGTAAATATGACCAAGCGTATTTCTTTTCAAGGAATAATTCTGCAACATCAGCGAGCCATTCTTTTAATAATACCTGACTTGCTTGATTACAAACTGAATCAACTAATGACTCAAGTTCTAGTGCAGGAACTGGAAACTTTCCAAAATCATTCAATTTGATTATTCGCATTTTGTAATACCTTGAAAATTAATTGATTTAATTAAAGATATAGTAAAAAAGTTTAATTAAATTTTAGTAATAAATAATTATAATTACTTGAGGAACCATAAGTCTCTAATATCCCTTAATATTTCATTACCAATAAAAAGATTGTGTTCATTATAATGAGTTGCACTAACAAAAAAATGATGCCATGGTACAGGTGCACGAATGTGCATTATCGGATATTGAACTGGTAATTTATCAATGAAAAGTAATCGCTGTCTCTCTGAAGGATCAAGTAAAATATAATCAACTATTGCAAATCGAATACTTTGCTTATAATCTTCAATTATTTCAGATTCCAGTGATTTTGATATTGAATAAAAACTACAAACAAATGATAAAAAAATATTTTTTTTTTTGTATTTATCAACTAAGTATCGTATACTCACTTTTTTCGTTTTCTTAATTTATGCGACAAATATTCGTGCGCTTTTTCAATATGTAAAAAATCATACGGTTCAATATGAAAATCCTTTATCGAATTCATCAAGTAGTTAAATTTAGAAACTGTTTCCATCTGAATATTTACATTGTATTCTTTTTCATCAATTATATTCAATAATTCTTTTCGCTGTGATTCGATAGATCTTGGTAAATCGGCCTGTCTAATTTCTATATTCTAAAAACAAATAATTATTGTACAAATTGAATAATGTATTAATTGATTGTTTTATAAGTAAAACAAGAAAACTTGCTGTCATTTCTATTACTGAAGACTTTTTTGACAACGGACGTTTTTTTCGTTGTATTGTTTGATCTTTTTTTCTTATTTTATTGGCATTCTCAGACTTTTTTTTTCTTTCCCATGTACCATCAATTAAATCCGCGAGATTAACAATATTATTTGGCTCTGATTCGAGAAGTTTTTGTTTTTTAGCATTTGCATCAATAACTTCCTTTTCATGTGCACGTACATATTTAATGGACGGATAATCAAGATCTTGATTGATTGAAAACCGCTTACATAAAAAAGATTTTTTTTCAACGAGCCGTTTTTTAGTTAAATTATTTATACAGAATCTTGATGCATCTGGAGTATATGAGCTTGCAATACGCTCTGATGGTTTTACATAATTTATCCAGTGTTTATATGGAACTCCGTTTGTCCATGATTGATCTTGTAGAACTGGAGGATTTTCCGTGTAATCTAAAAATTTTTCAGCTTGTGAAGTTGAAGGATGTTGGGGATCATTGAGATTTGTAGTCAACATCCAGGATACTTTTGATTGCTCTGATGACATTGAAAACTTATTGTTGTCCATCAGATTTTTATTTTACTCTAAAAAAATCATTTTTTTTAATTTTCTATCGTGTAATAATTAAAAAAATGTTAAGTTTATGTATTTTCAATTTAAGTCTGTACAATTCATTTTACATACCTCCAAATTACTAAATATTATTAAAATTTCCGTTCTGAAGTATTGCTTAATTTTAATTTTATATACATAAAATATAATAATCACTTTATTTTTATTTATAATATTATTTATTTAAGTAATTTGAACTTAGTTCAACCCATTAAATATACTCTGACAACAGTGTGAAAATGAAAACATGTCACCATAGCAACAGAAAGAATTGTTGTTATATATGAATCATAGAATAAAACTAATATTGAAAAAAATAAATATATATTTTAAAATAGTATTAAATTTATCTAACAAAATTAATGTAACAAATTCATGTAAATAAAAGATAATTTTGAATTTTTTTTTTTTTTCAATTTATTTCATTGTATATAAATAAATAAATAATACTTTTACGAATAATCAAATGTAACATAATGTTTTGAACAGCTTGGTGTTGAATTTTGGATATTTTCGGATTTATGAGGGCTACCATCAAAAATCATCGACGCAATATGACTTTTAAAAGGAGTTTGAACATGCAATTCTTTTTGTGGATCAATACTATTGATACGGCTTTCATTAAAAGCTATTCGACGTTGCAACCAATCTGTAATGTCATTTTATTAATTTCAATATCATGAAAAAATTAAGTTTATCTTAAAAAATATTCCAATTTATATTAATATTTAGCATCATAAAAATAAAATATTTACTTTCGTCAGCTACTTTAGAAAATTCATTGAGCAAAAAGTCTTTATCTCGTGATTGAAGAACCAACATTTCACGTAAAATTTGAACCATCTGTCTACTGGCTTCAGCTTTAGAACGAAAACAATAAACAGTTACACTGCAAAAAAAAATTATTTTTTTATATTATTTGGTTTAATTAGTAATTAATATTATAGATCAAATTATAAATTATAAATTAACCTCATAGCAATTAATATAGCTGCACCGACTCCTGGCTTGGCTAAGCTTGTAATTATTTTCCATGCTTTGCTATCACGTTGAAGATCCAGAACACGTTCAATCACTACTTCCCAAGTGTAATTATAATTTTGAAATGGCCCACAGACATTACACTCGACAGTTGTTACAACATATCCCAACATTGTCAGAGCTCCAGTCATACCAAGAAACGTTAAAGCGAGAAATAATGTTTGCGTTTGAGCTGCTCGCCAAGGAATCAAGGGTGGCTCACAGTGTCTCATTAATCCAAATTTTTTTATATAAAATGTTAAAAATATTTTAACAACACTAATAACCGATAACAATGGACTAAAATAGAAGGCAACCCAAAATAAAATTTGATTATAAATTAAATTCAAGGTGTTTATGGCAATGTCAAAATTTGGAGCACCAATTTTTTTCCAAACTGTAGAATAAACATAGTAATGAACCGCCTCAACAATAAAACTTCCTATTATAAATATTAAAAAGTCAAAAATAATCAGTCGATACATTTCTTGAGCTAATTCTGTTTGCCAGCAATCAGTCAGGCCAAATGTCAGCCAATAAACTAATAATGTACCAATTACTATCACAGCCATTGCAAATATTCGTATCATTGTAACAAATAAAGCAATTCGTTTATTTCTATAATTTTCAATTTTCACCTGAAAAATAATAATTTTATTTTATTTTTATATTTATCATTAATTATTTCACTGTTTATGTTTATAATATGATTTGAATAATAATTAATATTTTTTACCAATTGTGATATTATGACTGGAAAAATACTCATAATAATTGTAACAACTAAAGGTATTGTTAATATAGAAACAAGATTTGATTTTTGAGGCATATGTGCACTGAGTAAAGTCCATATTAAAATACCAGTTCCTACAATTGTCACCATTACTGAAATATTTACTATAAACTGTATAAAAAATTTATAAAGCTTAGCAAGACAACTAGTTTCATTAAAAGCATCCGGTTCAGCTAATAATTCTTTAAGTTCTCTGTAAATTGAAGATGAACGTAAACATGCTGCTTTGTACGACGTTATATTATGGTCCCATCCACAAAATATTTTATTTGCATACAAATTATGTATTCCACCCGATGTTTCAATGAAACATTTTCGGTAAGATTTTGTTACTCTGTAAAAAAAAATGTTTAATTAATAATTAAACTGTTTATGTATTGATAAAGAATAAGTATATAAATACGTACTTTACTGACAACAGAGTAAATATGAATAAATAACAAGATAACATTGAAATTATATATGCTGTTGGTATATTATACGTATAACCAGGTATTATTTCTACTGAGTAGTTAGAGTAAAATCCATAAAATGAAATTGTATTTTGCATAAAACCCTAAAAAAACAAATAAAAAGTTTTTTTTTTGACTAAATATTTAATTAACCATCAGTTGTCTCTCTAGAAATAGCGTAATTCTGCATCTTAAAATAATCGACTCTAATTAAAATATGCAAAGATACAATTTTTTTTTTTTTTTGTAAAAAGATATTAATTAATAGATCGTTAAAATAAAGGTGTAGAACTATACTTTTTTGAGGTAGAATTGGCGTAATCCAGAGAGATTTTTGAGTGTTGAAATAATAATAAAAATAAAAAATTATACTTGTCCTATTAATAAATCAACAAAATTAAACTGCAAAGGCTCTGAATAAATTTCTATTAATGATTGAGGAATAACAATAAAAAACACACTGTAAAAAAATAAATAAAACCAATTTTTATCAATAGATATTAATTATAAGGGTTATTGATGTACCTTAAAAAGCAGCTTATTATATTGAGTAAAAATAACCATCTCAAAAATTTAAAATAGGTCGCAACACCACTTCCAAAATGGCCCTCAATAGATTTTATCGAATGGTGCCATATTTCAAAATTGGATAAAAAATTTTTTAAACCAATGATAATCTATTAAAAACAATAAAAAATAAAATTTTAAGTATTAATAGATTGATCTTCTTACAGATAAAAAAAATTTTTAAATGTCATTACCTTTATAAAAAAAATACTGAAAGTGTACTTAAATCTTTTCCATGTACTTAAACCTTGTTTATTAGATTTAAGATTAATGGACTGACTCAATTTAGCTTTTATAGATCTTTTAACAGTCAAACATTCTGGCATATCTCTAAGCGCTTCAATACGCCGCATTTCTGATAGAGGATCATCTTGCATCAGATCTTCTTGAAGTTCAATATGATTAGCGATACTATCAACGTGTTCTTCAATTTGGGACTGTTCTTCATCTAATAATTGTAATGTTTTATAAGGTTGCACAAAATGAAGTTTTGGATTTTCGGTATAGCTTAAAAATGCTAGTGTTCTTGATGGTAAATGTCGAGTATGCTGAGAGAAACGTTGGTCTGAAGCTCGTCGCTGAGTCAGTCGATGACTTTCGAATGATCCATAATCATTCCAGCTTGAAGATCGTATTGACCGTCCTTAAATATATAGATAAATAATTCAGTTAAATAATAATAACCAGTAATAAAACTAATTAATTATCAATTATATTAATTTACCTTTTAGCATATCAAAATTATCACTCTCTGGTTTTATCATAATTATTAAATACTGTCAACTATGAAGAATGAATTTTAAAGTAATTATCGTTAGATTTAATCTAATACTACTTAATTGATAGCATCCTTATCAATATCGATTTTTTATTTCATTAATAAAAGTTGAAATGTTCACACATTTGGTGACGTTATCTGTCAGCACGTACATAACAATGGTATATAATTCACAGTATATGTGTGTAAAAATAAACTTATATATGTATGCATTGTTGGCTTTGATACATTCTGTCTGGATCATTGTTGTTGTGTATAGATCATCCTGATCTCTCAGTCGATCTAACAGATCGACAAAATCCACTCCCTTGCCGATATAATAGATTTTAATGTTAACTTATTTATTTATTAAGACTTGCGATCATAAAAAAAATATATTTTTTGTATATATACAAATAAAATTTAGGTGTCATATTAATAATTTAATATTTATTAATCTTATTGTATAATATTGTTCTTAATAGTAAAATTTTACATGTATTAATGCAAAAAATCATTTAATACACTTATTTATGTTAATATTAAGTATTTTTAATAATGTGAAAATGAGCTTAAATACATAATTAATATAGTTCTACGGAATTAATATTGTTTAATACAAGTTAGTAGTGTAATTTTACTTAGTAAATGTCAGTTTTGAATCGGAATAAAATTAAAGCGTAGCCATCAGTCAATGTTCTCGCGAATTGATTTTTTTTTTTTATCGTTTACATTTTAACTTAAAAAAAAATGAATACTAATGAAATGCAGCAATGTTGATTACTTTGAGTAATAAATTTGATTATCAAATTTAATAATTTTATATTTTTTTAGTATTCTTCGTTTTATACGTAAATAATAAAAGTACATTGTATACAAAAAATTTGTTCACCACATACTATAATCAGCATCGTCTTGGTCAAATGTTATAAAGAAACCAAGTAATGTTAAATAAACTACAAAGTTTCCGGCAAGTGTGAGCCAGCAGGCACCCCATTCAATCTGTAACAAACAATTACAATTTACTCATAGTTAAAAACATAAATAACTTTATTAATTTGGATAAAAACACTTACGGTTCCTTTGTCAGCTGGTGAACGTGCTAAAACAATTGGTAATGCAAATGACGATACAACGATGCCCATAGTAATAAAAATAGCAAGTTCCAAACATGGATTACTATTACTACCCGAATCGTCTGTGTAACGGCGTGCCATGAGCGTTGGAATAGGTGCAAGTACATAAAATAATACTACAAATAGCGGCCACCATACTCTGAAAAAAAAAATTATTGTAAATATTTCATTAAATTCAAATTAATAGATATTAATGATTTATATCATAATTATTGGTGTATTTACTGATAGGACGGAAGTGCACATGCCAGAATAACAAATGTCATTCCTATGGAGCCAGCGAACGCGAGTGTAACCAGCCTGAAATTTTTAAATCATTTCATTTTAATTATTTATAGGTAAATATAATAAAAGTTATGAGTTATTCAAACTTGATACTTACGCTGTTGATAAAAAATTTACACAAAACGTTGAACATGAAAAAAAAAAAAAAAGATTAAAATTATGTTGTGTATATTTATTGTTATTTTATGAATTTAAATCATTTTTTTATTTTTTACAAGAGAAATCATACTTTTCATGTTATAAATACATTTACCAAGTGACTACTCGAAACAAAATATTTATGATCTCAACTTAGAACAAAAAAAAATTACTTTTATATGCAATTTATTCAAAACTTATGTTATTATAACAGCAAATTATTAAGTAGAGATAATCATTAATTAAAGTTATGCAATTTATTGAACTCATAATACTTAAATTCTAGGTTAAGCTTATTGCGATTAGAAAATATTATTTATTTTTTCGTGTTAGTCAATTATTTATGATTATTCATCATCAGATGCAAAATATATTTATAAGACCACAAATCTTTTATCACTTGACATAAAAAAAAATGTACCAAGTATAACCTTTAATCCCAGCCATTGTCGATAAATTTTGCAACCAACTAAAGTAAAAATTTAGTCATCGGCAGTCAACTCCTTTTTAATGTAAACTATCTTCTCTTCGTTTTTAGTTTTACCTTCTGTTAAATAAAAAAATACTTCTCGTTGCGTTAAAAAGAGTGTTTTGACGCTAACTATGTAAATTAACCGTAACGATCATTCTCCATAAACCTTTAGTTTAGAAATACTGTTTATTGTCAATTGTTACGATTCGTTAAAAAATAATGTGTCTAGTTACATGAAAAATCGCCCTAAAAAAGTCAACTCAAGATATCTGTTCTAATATAATTCAAGTTTTGTTATTATGTTATTAATATCATACGAGTCACCTGCAATATAATTATACAACTGCCGAGATTTATAAATTATGAATAAAAAAAATTTGGCTTAATGATTTTTTAATATTTCTAATCACACTATACATATAATATTTGGGTGCTTTTGAAGTATATTTTAAAAATAATAATGCTACATGACAGGATCAATTACAAATAATTTAATGGATAAATGTGACGGAACAAATTTATAGAACCAACAAACTATTCAGAACTACTCCAAAAACTCAACATAAAAAATTGGCTATCGCTGAAAAACATATTGAAGACTGTGAAGAGGCATAAATTCTTGTCAAGACCTTTCTGATGATATCAAATTTAACTATAAAAACTCTTTTCAAAATAATAATATGTTCGTCACAAAATTTTCCCAACTATCTCAATTATTGAAATCATAAACGACTATCGCTGAAAAATATCACACTCAATTTATGATAAAGATATACCAGGTACATAATTAATTTTTCTTAGTTTCTTATAATTATATAAATTAATTTTTGACATATATTAACCACATTCGAATGAATAAAATAGAATAAATAAACAAACAAATGACATTTGTCTATTGCTGAAAAACATGAAACATTAAAAAGGCACAAATTCAGGTCATGATCTTTCTAATGATACTAAATTTAATTAAAATACTCATTTTATCATATAAATACGCCAGAGACAAAATTTTCCTTATTTTCTTAATTATATAGATGAAAAAATTCTAATATTATGTTGTATTAGAAAATCCGAAAATCTTAAATTTACTTGGAATTAAATTAACAAAGTATGTACATTGATTTGAAAAAAAAAATTTGTGTAAATATTTTTAAACAATTCAACTTTTGTAAATTAACTTTTTCGTTGCCGCGTAACGCATCAACAACGACACCTATATAATGTCATCGTAGATTTGTTTTTCAAAGGTTGGCAGCTACAAACAATTGTGGTGTGGTATAAACTCCTGTCAAATGATTGGTCGTAATGTTGATAGTTGCTCGTTTGGTTGGTGTTGGCTTTAGAGAGTGTATCGACTGTGCTGAATCGTCAGAACCGTGTCATTAAACTTGTGTTTGATCCAGACAAGAGAAGTTAAACATTGTATTCACGCCATTCCTTATAATATTTTATTCTATTGAGTATTAAAGAACTACGATGGGTGATCAAAAATGGTATGAATAACTTTCATTTTAATTAATACGAGTCATTTTTCTTCGTAAATTTATAATATTATCTGATTTTTTTTATATTAACATTTTCTCCGGTGAATGTGATTCGTGCACGTAACGATTGAAACGCGAATGCTACCCCTTCAATTTTTCGTTGTCATCATGTCGTCTATACGGTTTTTATTTTACAAAATATTTATTATTTTTTAAACATTAAGAATAATGACGAAGCATCGTGAAAAATTGTTTATTAACGATAAATGAACATTAATGTTTAAATAATCAATTCTTAATATTAGATTACCCTTTTCTTTTTAATAAATTATTTTTTTTATTTGCTAAACAGAAAATGTTGACATGACAAAGACATTTCAATACTTAACATAATTTTATTAAATATTTTTACAACCATGTATCTGCAAATTTTTTTTATACGCTAATAATTATTATTAAATTAATATTTTTATCACGAATGCAAAATTTATAAAAAAAAAAAAATTATTTTTAAAAAACAAGAAAATTATTATTTTGTTTTTAGTGATGATCTGGCAACTGCAATTTTGCGTAAGAAGGACAAGCCTAATAGGCTACTGGTTGAAGAAGCAGTAAGCGATGATAATTCAGTGGTCGCTCTATCTGAAGCTAAAATGTGTGAGCTTCAATTGTTTCGCGGTGACACGGTATTACTGAAAGGAAAACGACGCAAGGAAACAGTTTGCATCGTATTATCTGATGAAACTTGTCCTAATGAAAAAATCCGCATGAACAGAGTTGTAAGAAATAATTTACGTGTTCGTTTGAGCGATGTTGTATCAATACAACCTTGCCCAAGTGTCAAATACGGAAAGAGAATTCATGTTTTGCCCATGGATGATACTGTCGAAGGATTGACTGGGTAATTTTATTTTAAATTTTTGTTTATTTTTTGTTTTAATAATAATGCAAAGTTTTTAATATGATAATTTTTCTTTAAAATTCCAGAAATTTGTTTGAAGTTTATTTGAAACCGTACTTCTTGGAAGCATATCGTCCAGTTTACAAAGATGATAACTTTATTGTTCGAGGAGGAATGCGTGCTGTTGAATTCAAAGTTGTTGAGACTGATCCTAGTCCCTATTGCATAGTTGCTCCTGATACTGTTATTCACTGTGAGGGAGATCCAATTAAACGAGAAGTAAATAAAATTTTTCATACATATACATTTTTTGAGCAGTAAAATTAACATAAATGTATAAATTTTTATTATTGTTTTATTAGGAAGAAGAAGAAGCTTTAAATGCAGTTGGATATGATGATATTGGTGGTGTACGCAAGCAGCTTGCTCAAATAAAAGAAATGGTTGAGCTACCGTTACGTCATCCTTCATTGTTTAAAGCTATTGGAGTAAAACCACCGCGTGGTATTTTGTTGTATGGTCCACCTGGTACTGGAAAAACTCTCATCGCTCGTGCAGTAGCTAATGAAACTGGAGCATTCTTTTTCCTGATTAATGGTAATTTTTTAAATTAATATGTCTTTAGTCTAAAAAAAAAAAAATTAGGAAAACGGTTGACCCTGAAGGCCATTTCTGCAACTTCCCGCTCTTCGAGCTCAAAAATATAATTTTCGTGTAGCTTTGACCTCTCAGAGCTCAAAAGTCTGATAGTAGTTTAATAAAATACTATTTTTTTAATTTTCAAATCGCAATAACTTTTGAATGAATAAACCGATTTTCACGCGGTTGGCGGCATTCGACGCATTTTTTAAAATTCTACGATATATTTTCAAACACCAATTGATCAGACCAGAAATTTCTGTGTAGTTTGAAAAAAAAAACTTTTTCAATTTCTTTCGTCAACGATAACTCACGAACGAATCGACCGATTTTGACCAGCTTGGTGGCGATCGACGTGGTTTTTTGATGTTAAGAGCTGATTAGTTTTTGGAATTGATCAATCAAGCCGTTAGAAAATTATTAAAAAAAAAAACCATATTTGAAAAAATTTTTTTTCGCAGTTTTTTCAAGATTTCTCAAAATCTATCGGTCCAACTTGTATTCAAAATCTACGTTTAGTTGAACTCTTTCGAATGGCTCCAACCACGATCAAATCGGTCAAGCCGTTCAAAAGTTATGAGTGGTTTACACACACAAACACACATACAGACATACAGACACCATCACGGGAATAGTCAGGGAAGCTTCCTAGGACCTCAAAACGTCGAGAACTGATGAAAACTCGATTTTCGAAAAACTGGGTAAAAACAATAACTTCCCAATTTTTGAAAATTTTCAATTTTCTTAGCGGGAAGTTAAAAAAAATAATTATTTGGATTTTTATTTCATTTACACTTACTAATCTGTCATTTTTCTATAGGTCCCGAAATTATGAGTAAACTTGCTGGAGAATCTGAGAGTAACTTACGTAAAGCATTCGAAGAAGCAGAAAAAAATTCACCAGCTATCATTTTCATCGATGAACTGGATGCTATCGCACCAAAACGTGAAAAAACTCATGGAGAAGTTGAAAGACGAATTGTTTCACAATTGCTAACGTTGATGGATGGTATGAAACAGAGTTCTCATGTAATTGTTATGGCTGCAACTAACAGACCAAATAGTATTGATGGAGCTTTACGTCGTTTTGGTCGTTTCGACAGAGAAATTGATATTGGTATTCCTGACGCTACTGGACGTTTAGAAATTTTGCGTATCCATACTAAAAATATGAGACTTGCTGACGATGTTGAATTGGAACAAATCGCTGCTGAGACCCATGGACATGTTGGTGCTGATTTGGCTTCATTGTGTTCTGAAGCAGCATTGCAACAAATTCGTGAAAAAATGGATTTGATTGACTTGGAAGATGACCAGATTGACGCTGAGGTTCTGGCATCACTTGCTGTGACAATGGATAACTTCAAATACGCAATGACTAAAAGTAGTCCAAGTGCTTTACGTGAAACAATTGTTGAAGTACCTACTGTTACATGGGATGATGTCGGAGGACTCCAAAACGTTAAGAAAGAATTGCAAGAACTTGTTCAATACCCTGTTGAACATCCTGATAAATTTTTGAAATTTGGTATGCAACCATCAAGAGGTGTTTTGTTCTATGGTCCACCTGGATGTGGTAAAACTTTATTAGCTAAAGCGATTGCAAACGAATGCCAAGCTAACTTCATTTCTGTCAAGGGACCAGAATTGTTAACTATGTGGTTCGGTGAATCTGAAGCCAATGTAAGAGATGTTTTCGATAAAGCCAGATCAGCTGCACCATGTGTTCTGTTTTTCGATGAATTAGATTCAATTGCTAAATCCCGTGGTGGTTCAGTCGGTGATGGAGGTGGTTCTGCTGATCGTGTTATTAATCAAATTTTAACTGAAATGGATGGTATGGGCGCTAAGAAAAATGTATTTATTATTGGTGCTACAAATCGTCCAGACATCATTGATCCTGCTATTCTTCGTCCGGGACGTCTCGATCAACTGATTTATATTCCGCTGCCAGACGAGAAATCACGAGAAGCTATCTTCAGAGCTAATCTACGAAAGTCTCCTGTAGCTAAGGTAATTTTAAATAATCATAATTGTAACACTCCACACACAAGGATAATATTTATCGTTATTTTATTTTTTTTTTTTTTTTCTTTCAGGATGTTGATTTAACATACATTGCTAAAGTAACCCACGGTTTTTCTGGCGCTGATTTGACTGAAATCTGTCAACGTGCATGCAAATTAGCTATTAGGCAGTGCATTGAAGCTGATGTACGTAGAGAAAGAGAACGAATGGATAACCCTTCAGTTTCGATGGATGTAAGTATTTAAAAAAAAGTATTTTTGACTAGTAAATTTGATTCTAAACTAATAATTATTATTTTTACAGATGGATGAAGATGATCCAGTACCAGAAATAACACGAGCTCATTTTGAAGAAGCGATGAGGTTCGCTCGTCGTTCAGTATCTGACAACGATATTCGTAAATACGAAATGTTTGCACAAACATTACAACAATCACGAGGTTTTGGGACTAACTTTAGGTAGTTAAAAAAACTTTGTTTAAAATTATTTTATTGATATCAATATTCTTTCATTTATTTATAATTCCATAATTATAGATTCCCTCAGAATGCTGCGGGAGGTACTCAAGATACCACTCAAGGAGATCAAACTTTCCAAGATGATGGTGATGATGATCTTTATAGTTAAGTCCTTGTATCTTTATATTTCATTACAGTGAGTGCACTACGAAAGGGCCTGTCTAAGTGATTCTTTTTTATGTAATCATTTCAAAAAAAAATTTTAATAATTGAAATAAATATAAATAAAATAATTGATCATCCTTTTATACCAATCGTTAAAAATTTGTATTATTAACTAAAAAATTACTTAATATACAATCTAATGTGTTTAGAAAATAAATAAAAATACATTTATTATCGATATAAAATCGTAGAAAATAATTTTCAATGAAAATCGAATTTACATTTTATACATACTCATTTTTTTTATTATCCATTTAGGTTTATAATGAAATTTGATCAATAATGATAGACCCTTTTGACATGTCATCACTGTCAATTTTTCACTGTTCATTTGCTAGTTCATTTAAATTAAAAATAAACTTGAAAAAAATGTCCATACATGCTACGTTATTAAAATTGTTTTCAATGTTTCAAGAAATAAATTTACGAAACAAAAAAAATATAATAAGACTATTGTATGGAATATTCTTTTTTTTTCCAAAATATGTTTTAAAATGATTTTAAAAATATAAATTATTAAGTATAGTAAAAATTTGACTGCTGTAATTTTATATTTTAGACACAAAACTTCTGGTGAAATAAAAATAATAAAATACAAGCTATGAAAAAATAAGTTTTTTAAAATTTAACTAATATTTTGTTTTTAAATATATATTATTCTATTAATTTGGAAATATAATATAACAACGCACAAGCATTCGTAAATATATTTACATGATTTCATTAGTATTTTATTTTATTTATATAAAAGTAAATCTATTAGCTAAATAAAACGCGGTAGTACAAAAATTTTGAAATTATACAATTTGAAACCTTTAATATAAGCCAATTTTTTTTTCCAAATCTTGATTACATTTGTTTTAATTAGATTAAATTTAGACTTCATTATTAATAATGACAAATTTGATAAATTTTGGGCCCTATTTGACGAAAATTTATAATATTTATTATTCATGTCTAAGCACTTCATCGTTGCTAAAATATTCAAGTGAATTTCAATAACTTGCCCTTGTAATGAGTCCGTTGATTATAAATATTACCTAACAATACATTAATAGATACACAAAATTTAACTTGATGTTTTTTTTTATCACGATTATTGATCTTTTTTTATTTTTTTATTTTTTTTTTTACTTTTTTAACTTTTATTCTATACAAAGAATATTTATATTTTCACGCGCATTACAAGTTTTTGGTCAAAGACCACTCAAAAAAAGTAAATATTGAATTAAAAAGATTTCGTTTGAAAATAATGAGTAGTAAATAATATTACAATGACATCAGAAATCCCATTCTGCAATATCACATTATCATCTGAATTTAAATGTTGTCTCATTAAATCGATGATTACCACTTGATATGTATTCAATTAATCCTTCAATCTGTTCTTTGTGTTACTGGTGGAAATTCTGTGTCATCGTCCAGTCGAAATGTTCCACCTTTTGGTGGACTCTCCGTTGCTGCTATCATCTCATGATATTTTTCTGACTCTAAATTTTATAAACATTTATTAAGATATATACAATAAAATTTTTTTCGTATTAATGAATTAAGGATTAAAGAGGTCAAAAACCAAAACCAATGTGGTTTAATAATAATTAAATATATTCTTATCGTTGTGAATTTATTAACCTTTTTTTTTTTTTTTTTAATGCATTTGGAAATCATGACTATCAACACTTTATAAAGTTAATAATCATAATTAATGGGACGCCTAAGCGCCCAGCGCTCAGGCTATGTTATTATTAAAAAACATTGATTAAATAAATGATTTCATTCCTTTAATTTATTATTTTAATGAAGTTAGTTGATGGAAATTAAAAGTAATTAAGTTATTAGTTAAAAAGCGCATGCAATGTGATTTAAATTTAGCAGAAAGCTTTGAGTAAATAATGTATTACTATGTTAATTAAAATAATATCCATAGTCCTACCTAATAATTTTATTTCAGGATATTGATCTACACGTCGAAATATTTTGTTACTTTTTCAAATTAAAATAATGCGCGTAAGCCTTATGGATAAATAATGGTATTAATATTAATATGACTTGAGATAAAACATAATTATAAATTAAATGTACTACTAAGATTGATAAATGAAAAATTTCTGTATCCAAATCATGATGTATGAAATACACTCAAGATTTTAGGATAAAGTGCTAGATATCTACATTAGTTGAACTTATTTGTGCGTGTGTGCCGTTAAATGTTTATTAAAAAAATTATATCTTTAGGTTTAAAATTATTATTATTATTATTATAATGGTATTAAATGTATCGAAAATTTAAAAAGAAAGTATTTAGTTAAATACTTTCTACGAATGAAATGATATTTAAATCATTATCTTAATTGGAAGATGATAGCAAATACGAGGGGGATGAATTTTAATAGAGGACATACCAGTACCTGACATGGAGTCTGGCGAGCGGCCGCGCAACGCACCCGCGTAGCTATTTATGCAGGCTTCAGCGGATAATAAAAAGAAAAAAAAATATATAAAGTAAGATCAACTATTTGAGCTCCCCTTTCCCCACTGCGAGATTGTTTCGGCAGTCTCATTGCGGGGTTAAAAGAAGCGAAAGAAATAAAGAGCGAGTGTAACATAAAAGTATACATTGTACAATATAATTAATGGTAAGAGAGCGCACACACGCATCCACATTAGGATTAAACAATAAGTAATTATAAGAAAATGCATCAATTAGAAATGATAAATATGAATAAAATAACACTACTTAAATTATATAATTTATATTTTATATAAAAAAGGAATAAACAACTAGGCCAACTGTTACAAAAAAAATTTTTTTTTTAAATTAATACTTCACTTGATAGACTATCTAGCACTGCTACAAATATACATTGATGTCTTTACAAATAATATTTGTATATTATTATTTTACACCTTTTTTTTAAGTATTCATAATTAAATTTAAATAATCCAAGGTTTACGCGCATTTATTAAACTTTTATCATCATTTAATAATGAAATTATTATTATCAAATGGTTGAGCAAATGAAAGGAAAAATTTTACCTCTGACGTAATAAATTCATGCATTTAATAGTATCTTATGATTTTTTTTTTATCTTAAAATATTGTGTGAAAAGAGATTATGGATTCAATAAAAATTTTAGATTGAATCATAGAATAATTTTTAAAGCAATTGATTCCATCGATTACAATCTAATTATTTAAAGTACCCAAAATCACCCCTACTGTGTGCGTGTGTGGCATAAACAATTTTAGATGATATTATTGATTTACGTATCACCTGTATTTACTTGATACATGTAATATTACTATAAATGAGTAGAGTTTAAGTCAATTCATCTTTAAAACTTCATAATAATAAAACAAAAATAGAAATGTTTTAGCATTATCTAAGTATTAAATAATTATTAAATTGAATTTATAAACATATGTATTCATATTTCAAGTAAATTCGTTGTTGCCAAGATTTTATTAGTTTACGTTTTCAATAAATAGATTCCTCGCTTACGAATCATGCTAGTTAAAATATTTTTGTAAATAGATATTTAAATATTTTTAGTAAATTACCTGGATTTTGTACTATTGGTGCTGAAGGAGTTACAGACGCTGTTCCTTCACCAGTACTCGGACCAATATTTGATACACTGGCACAATCCACTTCATCTTGTTTTCCATCTAATCTGTAATACATTATTCGATAATTTACGTGATTTAAATTCATTATTTAATCTACATATTTATTTTATATACCTGTGCTGTTTCAATAGCGTACAATCACCACCTTCATCAGGGTCAAGATCATAAATATAAAGATATCCGTCTGCATTAGCTACTAACAACCTTAATACCTTTTCTATCCTGTAAATAATATACATGATATTATTATTAATATTATTATTATTTTATCAATTAAATTGGAAAAAACTAATTAATATTTTAGTACATACGTAGTAATGGCACAGACATTTTTCAATCCTTGAAAAGGAAGATGAACACTCGCAAAAGCACGGCCTTGATTAAATACATCAGTTACTTGCGATGGTAAATAATTAGCTGATGCACAAACAGCTTTTGTTAAATACCCCATCCATCCTTGTGCTTCATCGGGAGCTTGTTTCGGACTAACATTAAAATTAAATAGATACATTTTATATATTTAATTATAAAAATAAAAAAACTAAGTTACTTCATAATGACAATAACTATTGTTAAAATAGAAAATAAAAAAATTACTGACGGTTCTTTTGATTCTTCTAGTTTAAATATGTGTACAGTTTCAGTATTACTGGAACAACATAAAAACATTGAATCCATACTAAATGCCAAGCTACTTATTGACACACATCTTTTTACACCACGACGAAATTCAAAAAGTTTTGCACCATCGTGAACCTATTAGATATAATATTATGTTTGCATAATACTATTGATGCAAAATTATATTCACTTATATATGTTAAAACTGTACCTGAAATACTCGAATCACAGTGCCTTTTTCAGATGCCGTAGCTACTTTAGTACCACTAGGGCTAAAAGCAAGTGCTGCTAATGGACTGTCATGAGCTGGAATCATAGTTTTGGCTTGCTAAAAATTGATTAATTTTTTAATAAAAACATACAATTGAATAATTATGTCTTATTTAAAGTTATGACATTAAATTATTTTTACAAGATTAATGGCGTCGAATATTTGAACCTCGCCGATTGTATTCGAACCGGGGTAGGCCAAGTAACAATTGTCACTGTTTATCGAGAGAATACAAAGGCCTGCAACATTAGGCGGAGTGTCACGAATCGTGTGCAATACTTTCATATCACGTATATTATGAATATACAATGATTCCTCCAAGCAAACCACCAATCTCTGCAGTAAAATAGAACCATATTTTTTTTATTAAATATTTTGAAATTATTCACATGCTGACTTTTCAAATAAAATATAAAAAACTTTACTGCTCTGTTAAGTTTTACGGCCAAAATTGTGTTTGAATAACTGTAGTTACATATTTCTGTTCCCTTTTTAAAATGGCAGACTTTAAGTTTTCTTGGAGAAGAGTATGTGACCACGGCAATAAGACTGCTGCTGAATAATCTTTCGACAATACATATGTCATCCGTGTCTATTTAAATAAAAAAATAATAATAATAATTAATAATAATTGAAAAGAATAAAAACTAAAAAGTTTCAAATGTATTTTCAATTTTATACCATTTTCGTATATATTTTCTAAATAATCAACTGAGTTGACTGAAAATATCCTGTAGCCAGCTTTAGATCCAACCGATAATGATCTGTAAGATGAAAAAAATTAAACATTATTCATTAATTTATTATAAAATATCTGAATAAAAATTATTTTGTCTTTTGAATATATTTTTTTGACCTTTAATCTCAGTGACTAGATTTTATTATCGAATCATTTGTTATGATTAAATGATCCATATAAACCTTGAAACTACCTCAAAGAATAATGTATTCTTCTTTTTTTGTCGAATCAAAAAAAAAAAAAAAAATGATAATAATACTTGGCTGAATTCATTAACAAAAAGAAAATTAAAAATCTAAGTATTTTAAATTGTAACGTTAGAGTTTTAATGTTATTGAGTTAACATCGCGTCATACATAATAACGGATTTGGTGGACAAGGACTACTAGCAAGTGTGTGGCAATTCGTACTACATAACATAAAAGTTATAATACAAACACAAGAGCAATGTGCTGATTGCCATGAGTATGGAGGGCAAAAAAAAAATATTAGAAAGGGTATCAATAAAATAAAAGTAACAGGTGAGGTTAAAATATATGTATGAATAATTGATAATAATTAAAAAAAAATAAAATGAAACGTTTTATTTTTTTTTTTCAGGACGTGATACTTTGGTAATATTTAGTTATAATTATGATTTTTATGTATGAATAATTGGTTATTAATACGCAATTAATTTGGTAAACCAATAGGGGAGGGAGAGGTCGTGAATGACGCATAGAATGAAAACATTACATTAGACGACGTATTATGTACCAGTTGCGCGAGAGAAGACGCGCAAGAAGAATATGAGATGACGCCAAGCTTTACAATATACGTATAAAAATAATAACAATAATAATAACAATAAATAAAAAACATAATTGCAATGTCATTATCAAACAAAGAAATTTATAATTATTATTATAATAATAATAATAATAATAATAATGATGATAAAAAAATTGATATCACTTTTTATGTCATTTAATTAAATAGTAATATTTTAATAACACAAACAATAACACAGAATGTATTGAATTAGATCATGTCCATGTTTAGCAAGGTCAAGTGACGATTGATATTCAAGAATAAAATAAAAAAACATCTTAAATACTTACGTGCAGTCCTGATTAAAATTAACAAAGAAAGCACCACTCTGAGATTCAGCAGTTTGATTTGCGAGGTTCATGAGTCCAGATATACTGTATTTTAGTCCTTGCGTCAATACATCAACGTTACGCACTAAACTTTGCATAAAAGTACTAACGGATTCTAGTAAATTTTATTTACTTTTTTATGTCAACATTAATATTGTAATAATAATTATTATGATTATTACTTTTATTATTATTGTTATTATAATGATTTTTTTTTCTTACTGTTGATGTTATTAATAATACTATTATTATTATTATTATTATTATTATTATTATTATTATTATTATTATTATTATTATTAATGGGTATAAACCGCGTGCTGGTTTGTATATTTTTATAGTCAGTTATCTCGAGAGAGAACGTTTTCTATTCACTTTACTGACGGAACTAGTTAGCTATTAGTCCATATTGAACTAAACAGCTGACAACTGTGTACTGATGAATCCTTGGAACGATGAAACTGAGAAACGTCAGACCGAATTCCGTAATTCTGTTTCCATAACAATTATATGATTGTATTGTCTCTAACACATGAATAATATGGCCTCGTTGTACATAAGTGTAATTTTTCTGTTTTAATACAAAGCTACAAAAAAGAGAAAGAACACTGATTTATTCCCACTCTAATCTGCTTGTCAATTCTCGATGTATTACCATTACCTTACCAGCTGGTTTCTCCTTCTCCTTTCGTTTCTTTGTTTTCTATCGAATAATTTTATATACATATATCTATATTTATGTAAATATCAGATTATACTGTGAGCGCCATCTAAATTATGTCAAAGACTTACCGACAGAGTATTTAGATTTTATCAAAAATTTTTAATTTATTATTTATATTTATTGTTATCAATGTGAATTAATTATTAGTTAAAAATCTATCAATAATTTTAATCCATCGATCTAATTTTCTTGATACATTTTAACAAATACTTTTTCAATAAATAAAAATATTGGTAGTTATTATGAAAAATTTAAGTATCGATAAAGCTATAATAATAATTTTATGTTATAAGTTTATCCTCAATGTAATAAATTTAAAAAATTATTTATATAAAAAATAAAAGGATGTCATTACGATTAATTGAATTAATTATTTTTATACCGATAAAAAACTTGTTACAAAAATAAATATGAATATAATATTAAATTTTTTTTAAATATTAACTTGACAAAATAAAATATTATCAATTTCAATAAAATTATAATTAAATAAAAAAATATTTCTTCTATTAAGTTTTATGAAATTAAAATTAAAACGGGCCATTTTTTTGTTTTTTTTTATTCAACAAGTAAATTAATTCAAAAATATATTTTGAAAAATTTGTAATCACAATTTTAAAAAATTGTTAATTCTATTTTGTTATTAAATTTACAAATTTTTTGTATAAATTTAAAAAGTTTAATAAAAATGTATAAAATTAATGTTTCATTTGATTTTAATCATAAAAAGAATATCTTTTACAAAACATCGAAACAGTTTTATAGTGACTACCACCAGTAACTTTATTTAAATTTCAATTACCGATACTATTAGGCTATTGCTTGCACCCGAATATGTATTCCAAAATTCTCAACAGTCGTTGTTTTTGTTGTTTTTACAAAAATTTCATTTTCAAAATAAATTCTTATTTATACTTATGAAAATATGTAATAAAATAATTTATTGAAAATTAAAAACAATTAATTATAGAAAATAATAAATAAGTATTTTGATTTTTTTGGTTTGTAAAACGCAAGCGCTTAAAGTAGCGCATGCTAATGAATACTTTATTGATCTTCTACACGGGTTGCTTACTAGTACAAGTTAAATTTCTACAGACATCAAAGGCTCACGAACAAGTCTTTTTGATTTGTTCTGAATCTCTTAAACAACTGTTCTTCTATTAACTTTTATTAAATTTACTAAATTGTGTAGTTTATATTAACATTCAATTCAATTCTTTGTGATAAATTTAAGTTCAATAGTCATGGCTTCCTTTTTCTTTTTATCCAGAGAATTTTTACTTTTATGTAAGTGTTACAATTTGACAAATATTTTCTTGTTTTTCACAACTGAAATCATTTCAAATAATATTATGATTAAATACAATGATTAATATTGTTTTATCTTTTTAGGGTGTATTTTAACTACGGCTTTTAGTAGTCCATCTACACCAGCAATATCTAGAAAAGTAATGGATGAAATTTACACAACTGCTCGACCCATTAAAACGATTGTTGAATTAAATACCTTCAGACCATTATCGAAGGTAATTATTATTAATACTATAAATAATATTTTTAAAGAAATAAAGTATATATAGTATCAAGAATTGTAGACCCTTTTATATAATATCAATTGAATCATAATAAAGTGTAACAATTTTATTGATGTATGCATGTTTATACGTTAGATAAAGATTTCATAGTATTTCAAACTTTGCTTTTAATAGTTACTTGAATAATTATTGAAACATTAATAAAAAAGAAAAGCAATATCAATTTATAAAAAGTGAACAGTATAATCTTTCAAAAACAACTATCAAAATATCAGCAGTTTTATATTATTTTCTTGTAATGATTTTTAAAAAATTTTAACGAAAAAATAAAAAACAAATACAAACAAAAAAATTATTATTATTTTTATACTCATTAATTTGAAACAGATTCACTTGTTCATATTTTCTATAAAAAAAAAAGTACTAATTAACCAATTAAATTAAATTAATTACAGCAAATAGCTAATAATCTGAAAACGACAAGTGTCGAAACGACCACAACTACAACAGTAGCTACAAAAACAACAACAAAAACTGTGTCTACTCCCAGAACATTTAATGGTAATGAACCACTTTATCGATTAGACGGAGTGACCGGACAAGCGTGTATTCTTCTACAAGTAGATGCACTTATAACTGTCAAATTTCGTACAAAACTTGGGGAAGAACAAGAAGCTAATATTTATGTTCCTAGTGATGCTACTGTTACAGGAAATTGTGACAGTGAAAACTTTGTTACAATGTCACTGAAGTGGAATGCTTTTGTTCTGTCTTGGAGTTTTGCTAAGGTAACTTTTTTTTTCTTCATCTAACACTCGTGTTTATCGAGTTTTATTGATAACTTTTTTGTAATAAATTTATTTCCACTTTTCTACTAACTACAAATGACAATTCATTACAATTCATACATTTTTTTGTTCTTCCAGACCCCCGGTGGTGAGCGATGGTACGTTGATAAAGTTGAGTTGACGTATAATTCCAGTGATCGTCATTTTCCACTAATTGATCAACCAAGTAAATATTTAATTATTTATCATAATTTATAGTTTATTGTAAAAAAAATGTTGATAATTTTTCTGTTTTGTTTACTTTATAGATAAAACAATTAGACTTACATCTGGACAAAAAAATACTCTTTTCCCAACACCTGTTGGAAAGTCTTACGTTTGTGAGGAAGAAGTTAGCATTCCTTTAAGTGACGGTAAAAATAATGCTGCTCTTCTGTTAAGGTTTGTATTGATTTTTTATTTATTTATTTGATTACTTTGGTATTAACTTTCTGAGATTTTAAGTGAGTAATAATATGTAATATTACAATTTCTGTTACAGAGATATGAAATTGCAGCCATTTAAATTCAAAAATAATGAATTTGCTGTTGAATTTTCATGTAAGTCGTTAAGCGCGCGTGCAGGTAGGGATGAAACTGCACCAGTAGCTGTTGGTTCAACACTTGCTGCTGCTGTACTTTTAACTATCACAGGTTACGCTGGGTGGCGATATTTCAAGGTGAAAAAAGTTAAATATGATACGATGGAGTAAGACATTTTTTTAAGTTATCAAAAAAGAATAATAAGCATAATGAATGGATGCTAATTATATCCTTGTAACTGTTATGGCTTTCATTGTTGAATAATTACATATTGCTAACATATCGATAATTTTTACACTTCTTATATTATTAATAATAAGAGGTACATAACACATTAATGATTAAATATACAGAAATTAATTACCGATAAAAATATTTATCAATGATAATTTGAAAAAATAAATTCTTAACGTTTTGGAGTTATAAATCGTGCTTGATTTTTATTGTCAATTTATGATCGGTTTGACACAGATGTATTGATATAAATCTTTATAAGCATGTATGTTGTATAAAATTCAAAACAATCGTATAGTAAATAATAATAATTAGTGAAATCTTTTTAATAATATTATTCGGAATAAAATATTGTTAATTAAAATGAAAACATACTTTTAAAATCTTTTTTCCATAAAATTATAAAATATAGAATTACAATTTTATAGAGTGATTTTAATTAAAATTTTTTTTTTAGTTTTTTATAGTTGATATTTATAATCAAATAAGCTATAAAATTTTAATTAATTTCTCGAGATTATTAACAAATAATATAAAAAAATTGTTGTTTTCTTCAATAAATTTTATCTATCAAAAAGCCAGCAACTATTAACGACTGTATTTTATCAGAATGTTAACAAACGATTTTTTGTGTCTCTTTGATTTATAATGAGTACAAGAAATACTTCCAACAAAACATTTCTTATTAAATAAATAAATAAATTTATTAATAATTACAACGTAAAACACTATATATATATATATATATATATATATATATATATTATATATTAAAGTCGAATCGCAAACTCTTATGGTTGTATTAAAAACAATTTGAGCGTGAGCGCAAAAATTTTGCGTATCATATTGTTTAGATAATAGCTTAAATATTGTCAGAGTAAAATTTATATCGTCAATTAAATCAAGTCATTTTTATGATTGTTCTTGAAGAAAAAATTTAACTTCTTTTTGAGAATTAAAATTTGAAGCTATCATTCAATAATTATTATGTACAATAAAAAAAGTGAATGTATCTTTAGTTATTTAACCCATAATTAAATTATGAGCATAATGATAAGTTTTTTTTTTTATTTTTCAATAGTAAATTATACACCATGAACTTTTTTCTGTAATATATTGTTAACTGACGTTAAAAAATTATTTAAAAAAACTTAATAGTTACGATGATGCTACAAATATAATTCTCAAAAAAGTAATGTCTATTAAATTATCAAAAGTCAATACAAATAATGATATTAAAAATAAGAATATTAACAATAGTGAGAATAATAATTTACCTCTATCTTGTTATTAATTCTCTATTTATGGCATATAAAACAAATTTTATTTTGACGTCTTAGCATGTTAAAGAGACGTGTATATAATAAAAAAAATATTTTAAAGTTTACTTATAAATTATTTATTAATAATATTTAATTTGGCACATGGCCCACTTGGGATTACAGCCAATAGAAATTAAAATATGATACACATGATAATGAAAAAATTAACTTGATTCAAGAAATTAAAATTATTCAAAATGATATTCTTGATTAAATTATATTTCTCTTGAATCAAGTTTGAATTTCTACGTTTACGATTATACTTATGTGTATATGTATATACATTTGCAATTATATTCGTGTTTATTGTATAATGTTAAGGTAATATATAAACTTTTGTCTTCCAATTATATAAATACTTAATTAATAAAATAAAAAGAATTAAAATAAAAGATGTGAGAGAAAGAAATATTTATGAATGTAAATAATATATACACTATTTAATATGAATATATTAAGTAGAATTTCTTATCAACCAAACTCACATAGTATAATATATGCATATGCATACGAATGGACATGTACAGACTTAAAAAGATCTACCAAATAAAAAAAAATGTCTGTTAGCTTCGATAATGATTAAAAATCAGATCCATTAATTCTTTGCGTAAAAAATATTAATTAATAACAAGACCAATTTAATTTTCGTAGATTCTGTGAGTTGGAAAATAAATATATGGATAAAAAAGAAAAACAATAATTAATTAATAATTAAAATCAATATTAATTACTGAAAAAAAAAAAAAAAAAAAAAAAAATATTGATAACTGTATTCATGTTCAGAGTCTGGTTGTTGACGCAAATTATCAAAATATTATCGTTAAACAAAATATAATAAGCTTAAAATAAAATATTATCAAGTGAAAAGAAAAAAGTGTACACCAATATTAATTGAAATAAATATTATATCAAAAAATAAAAATAAATATTATTGTTACACAAATAAAATGTTGACATATTTTGAATAAATACCACAAATTTGAGTGTTTTTGTTGAGCATATAGTATATTGACATAGCAGTTTATAAGTATATTATTAAGAACATATGCCTTATACCTGGTGTTAGAGTGAGTGTGATCGGAGTAAAACGTAAGCACGGATCATAAGCGTGTAGTGGCAAAGGGCGTGAAAAGTACAGTCAAGCGGGTTTATACCCCTGTTGAGAGCCCTCGGTCTTTGCGCAACGCGTGTACCTACATTGTCAATAGCTTATTGTCGTAATGCTCTATTGAAATCTCAAGCAACAATAGAAACCGGCGACAAATCGTATTGTAACCCCTAGAAACATCCTGCGTCCTGCGCTATATCCTCGTCGTGTCTGCATCAATGAGAGTTGTTCCTTATTTTTTATTCTCTTTCTCTTCTTTTCTCACTTGTCAATAAATACAAGTAAATATCTTGTTGAGAATTTACCTTTTTTTTTTTTTTTCGTTTCCATTTATATTTTTACTAATCCTCAAGACAATTTTACAAGATATTTTTTTTCTCTATCAATGATTGCTCCTCAATGTAACAGGAGATGTTCATTTTCAATTTTTTTCCTGCCTTTCAATTTTTTTTTGCATCATACTTTACTTACAGAAATAAAAAAAGAAAGAAGAAATCGCAGGAATATTTTTCACAAGATAAAAGATGATAAACCAAAAAATGATGTTCCAGAGTAATATTTATGTTTTTTTTCTCTCATTTCTTTTCCTGTGAGAATAAGTTATCCATAAGAGATATGAGACTGTGACACACATATATATAACATCTCATATAACTAACCTTAAGGTTATATGGCGTTACGTGGTGTAGTGGCCGAGTAGCAACGGTGTCTTGTGACTCCCATGTCGGCTTGTTATCCGCAACGCCCCATCATTATCCGCAATTACCCCCAAAACAGCCCCCTAGTTTATAAATTATAGGCCGCCCCCTATGTGTTATGTACTATTATAGCTACTGCAGGGGGTCCTACTACATCTGTCATCAAACGCAACCAATTACATTCAATTATCCTAACGCAAACGCTACAGCTATTTTGTCGTTATCACTTGCAATTATATCCTATCAATTAAATGTTATATTTATTTGTTTTTCACTTAATAATTATATACTAATTATAATTATCTTCACACTTTTACTATATCTACTCAAGTATCGAATTTTGCTCAGTAATCTACAAAAAAAAATCATAAAATTGCAGAGCTTCATTATTTTAATTCATGTGATAATTTAGTATGTTTGTTCAAAAAAATAATTGATGAAGTAAATTTTCTATAGGGATTTTATACCTTATTAAAGTTATGTATTTATTCAGCTTCCGTTACTACATTAAAAATGAAAGAAAAAAAGATGAAAAAAATTTTTCTCTTGTTTCAAAATATCTATCTCTCTTATTTCAAAAAAGTAACTGTTGGATCAAGAAAAATAAATCTCTTAGATGAAGAACTAAAAATTATCCATTCAAGAATTTTATTTGTTAACGAAGCATTTTATTGTTTTCAAACAAGATACAAATATAAAGTAAGTGACCCTTCAACCGACCGGTTAAGAACTTTTTTTTTTTACCAGTATTTTAATGAAATAATATTGCAGTAATAAACTTCACATATTCAACTAAATAATTAAATAAATAAATAAATGTTTATCAGTAATTCAGTGACAAAATGAATAAAATAGAATAAACATCAAATTTATTCAGAAAAGCAAATTGTCATAGAAGACTATATAATCATAAAAAATAATTAAACACATATTTAGAAATTTTCGAATTCTTATAATAATTATCATATAATATATAAGAGAGTGTTTCGTTTCGTTCGAGAATTTCTTTCTCTTGGATTAAAATTGGCGGTAAAATTGGTTCAAGATACTATTGGTTTATTAAAGATATGTTTGCTCTCAAAATTAAAGAAAAAAATGCTAATATATTTATGCTATATTTTGCATTATGAGAGAAAAAAAGTTTTAAACACTCTTTGGAATTTTTTGAAGCTAAAATTTTTTTTTCTTACAGGGAAAATTAATTTTTTTTGGTTATTCAAAGGGTAACATTTTTAGCGAAGAAATAACTGTGTATTTAAAATAACAGTATAAAGTATTTAAGGAAATTAATTTGGTTAAAGAAAATTATTAATCTAGACCGAATAATTGAATTATATCAATTGATGATAATATATACTTGTGAATCATATGAATCAAGTGACAAGAGTTACCGATCGGATATGTAAATATTTTGATTAAAAAGTGTAAAAAATACAAGAGGATACATTTTTGAAGCCAGATAACAGCTTTTCGTACAAGATTATTTCTCTTGAATCAAGTTAGTTCTTTTATGTGTCATATCTTCGCAAATATGAATCTAATAAATATTCTCAGGATTTAAAGTGTAACATACATTATTTTGACAGTGTATTTTTTGATTGCTCATTTAGCATTTTTACTTATATATATTGAGATTATTGAGATATATATTGAGATTTTGAAAGTGCGATTTCAACAGATCCTCACGTTTTGAGGTCCTAGGAAGCCGTTTCGATTATTCCGGCGTCCGGTCGTGTATAGAAAAAATTTTGTCGTACGATATCTTTAGAACGAATCAACCGATCGAGATAAGTGACATAGCGTTCGAA